AATATGCGATTATGCTGTTTTAATGTTTAATATCAACGTCGGACGTTTCGGTCTAATAGACCATCTTCAGGACATATTCATAAAACATAATTAACATAGACCATATACAATTCAACATGAAAAAGATGATGGACATAAAAGCAAGACCAATCCAAACAGATAACTGAAATCTTATCCAAGACGTGGATGTAGTTTATCGTCATACCCAGAACGGGTTCATTTCTGTAAAGTAGAAAGAGTGTTGGCCCAAGAAGTGACACCTGGAAACGCATACATTGATGGCTTGGGCCTCAATTGATAGTCAGAGCTTCTATATACTTTATTGATATTCACAGATAAACGTGAATCCTTCTCATTTTAAATGGTAAATATGTATCTTATGGTATTGTTATAATTCTAAGAATCAAAACGTGTCGTTCAGTTCAGATGCCGTTTATCATCTCGGCTTCTTTACAGTTTGGGAACATCGAGTTTGATTCGATTACATAGTCGTTCATTAATGAACAAATTACTGACAAGTTTCATTATTGCCTAGTTTTACCTAATAAAAGAAAATTGGGGCATTGCAGAAGTCGGAGAATTTGGAAATTCCGGAGAGTATCAATCACATTTACTCTAGCATTTTTTTTTTAAATTTAATAAAGTGTTATTTTGGCTGATGTTGAGCACGAAAGATCGCCTTATGCAATAACTCAAATAACCAACTTTAAAAATATTTCCAAAACTATTTTCAAGCTTTTCAAAAATGCTTTTTTAAATTCATTTTCAAATTTAATTTTTCCGTGAAATAGTTGAAACTTTGAAACTGTGAAAGAAGAAAAAACGAAAGAAAATAATTAGGCGAGAGAGATAGGCATGAAGAAAGCAACTAGCTTGCGAAAGAAAGAAAGAAAGAAAGAAAGAAAGAAAAGGCATATAAAGGAATAAATGACTATAAGAAAGAAAAAAAGAAAGAAAGAAAGAAAGCTACTGCCAGAAGAGATAAAGAAAGTATAGGGAGAGAGTGAGAGCAAGAGAGAGTAATAATGCGACTATAGCTAGCGAAATAAAGAAAGAAAGAAAGAAAGAAAGAAAGAAAGGAAGAAACAAAGAAAGAAATATCGTAGGATAGATAAATACATTGTAGAAACGAAGGATTGATTAAATGATTTGTCTGTTTAACGGCACTACAACAGGGTAATTTAATGCCGGAATTTAATTTGGGGAGGGAGATTTGAAGTACTAAAAATATACATTATTCTGCTTTCACAGTTGAATACATGGTAGATGATACTCAGCTTTTGTGAATATACATATTTGTGTGAACATAATTACTAGAGGCGGTGATATGTGTGTTTTATGTTGTCGTTTTTCTGAAGTTATATTTTAGAATACATTTTGAATTCTTTAAAAAATTGTAGGATATTATATGGATTAATGTCATGAAAGAGTTATTTCATGTTGGTTGTTTGGTTCATTGATTTTGATTAGCGTCATAACAACCTCTATGGATTATTTAATGCCGAAATCTAAATATTTTGAACGTATTTTATCCTTCAGTATCTGTCTATACAAAAATCTCCTGAGCCGACCAAGCATAGAAATGAATACAATATGGGAACCAGTAATAAGGAGTGCCAGAGAAAAGCAATAATAATAATAAAAAAAAGATTGTAATATAAGCTCTGGTAAAACATGCAATGATAACAGCAAAAATTGCAATATGAGCACTGGTAAAAATGGTAGCTGAAGACATTGGGTTTATAAGACCCTTAAATTCATACACAGATGTCCTCAAGGACACATGACACAGGGGATAGAGGCGTTGGTTAGATCCAATGACAGGACTCAAAGAGTTTGAGATCAATACCCGGTTAAGGGAGTCGAGAACTTTCAGAGGAGAATTAACAGGAGATAACTGACATCCATTAGACATGGCACGTGGAACTAGAACAGTCTACCCCACTTAGCGAAATAAAGGTTTCAGTTCGACATTCCAACTACTTGAAGAAGACCGGAGCCTTTAATATGTAATGTATGACGACAAAGATGAGGACAATAGTCCGAATAATGTAAATAATGTATTTTATCCTTTCAACTACAGATATTTTATACTTTATACTTTCAGTGTAAAGGTATGTTGTTTTTTTTATATATATATATTTTAAATATACAGTAGGGAGCAGACAAATATTCGTACACATACAAATTTTCAATTTATTGTATTTCTAACTAACGAATAAATATACTTTACATATAATTAAGTGTACACAGGGGAATAATAAGTAATTAAGCATAGACAATTGAAAACAATTTTTATAGAAATAAATCCCATTTATCAATTTTAATGGAGGAAAAAAGGTATTTGTACAAATTTCAGATTTTAAAACTTTTATATTTCTTTAATACTCTAGATTATTCAAATGGAATATTCGAGAATGCTCCAATAATGTTATCAGTAGTGATTTTTAGCCTAGAAAATACAAACGGAACACTTGGTAATTGATATTTGTGGAAGAAGGTTATCATCATGCCAAGAGGTAAAGAATTGATAAATTCGCCAAAAGAATTGATTGTTAAGCTCAGGAAAGAAGGTAAAAGTTACTGGAAAATCTCAGACAACCAGAATATTTCTTTTACTACCATTAGTTCATTTATTGCAAGGTGCAAAAAACACAAAACTGTTAAAAAGTAAACAATAACAGGTGCTCCACCGAAGATCTTTTCAAGATCGTCAAGGTAATTAATGCGCCAAATTAAACAAAATCCAATGGTTACTCATCAGGCGCTGCAGGATGATTTGCTTTTATCAGGAATATGTGTCACTAAACGGACAATAAGCAATGAAATTCTTTGGAACAATCTAAAGACATAGTTCCTTCAGAAATCTCCACTGCTATTGAAAAGACACAGTGATGTCCGGATGAAATTCATTCATTAACATAAAGATAAGGAAAAATCGTATTGAGGAAAAAGTATCATGGACAGACGAAACCAAAAGTGAGTTGTTTGAGCATAATTCCAGAAATCATGGAGAAAAGATAGCGATGATTTCAAACAAAAGAACACAATTTCAATAGTGAAATTTGGTGATGACAGCATTATGGTTTGGGGGTGTTTTTTTCTGCAAAAGGTACTGGCAGCATATCAGTTATAAATGGTAGAATAAATGCCACAGCATATCAAAATAGTTTGGAAGTAAATTTAATGATTTCGGTTGAAAATCTTCCTCCCGATTGGATCTTTCAACAAGATAATGATCCAAAGCAAACTGCAAAATCTACAAGGAAATGACTAGCTGAAAGTAATGTAAATATCATGGCCAAATCTGTTCACAGATTTAAACCCAATCGAGAATTTGCGGCATTATTTGAAAATTCAGATCCAATCGAGAGCTCCAATAAACATCCCGGATCTGAAGACCATATGCGAAGAAGAAATGGAACAAAATACCAAGTGAAAATACATAATACATACATACATATATATATATATATATATATATATATATATATATATATGTGTGTGTGTGTGTGTGTGTGTGTGTGTGTGTGTTGATATAATAGGAAAAAAACACGTTAGGTAAATAATCCGGAGTTCTTTAGTATTTTTGTTTTTATTTTAAAAAAAAAAACAGTTCTCCATACAGAAGTAGAGCTTAAATTATAATTACTTTAAAAAAAAAATATAATTCCTTCGCTACATAAGAGTTCTCATGTTTCAAAAACAAGAGCCAAAAACATCAATATAATTATTAAAATTAAATTGAGTTAAAGTATCAAGCCCTCGATTGTTAACTCTTAGGCCCCTTATCAAGTAAAATTTGCAAATCATTAATTCAGAATGACAAGAAGAGATTGGTTGCTGTAGAAGTGAATAATGGCTATTCTACAAAGTGTTAAATGAAAATTATGCATTCATTTTTGTATTGTACGAATACTTTTTTCGCCCATTAAAATGGATAAATAGGATTTATTTCTATTAAATCGATTTTTTTTTTGTTTTCTATGCATATTTAATTATTATGCATCTGTGTTACAGTTAATTATATGAAAAGTATGTTTACTCATTAGTTGAAAATACAATAAATTAAAAATTTGTATGTGTACGAATATATGTCCCCCCACTGTATATATAGAGGGTGAGGCAAAAGTCGCGCACAGTAGGTGTTAATGGAGATCTTCTCTTGAGTGGCAAACGAAGTTCTTTACTTCTTGCCATGATGAAATACATTCTTGCACGAATATCAATTTCAGAATGTTTTGTTTGTATATTTAAGACTGAAATAATTACTGATAATATTATTGAAACATTCTAGAATATTCCACTTGAAATTTAAAAAAGACATCAGTACATCTTTAACGTCTGTAATTTGCATTGTACGAATACTTTTTTCACACATTAAAATGGATAAATGGGATTTATTTCTATTAAATCAACTTTTTTCTGTTTTCTATGCATATTTAGTATCTGTGTACATTTAATTATATTTTAAAAGTACATTTACTTCTCATTTAGAAATACAATAAATAAAAAAAATTTATGTGTACGAATATTTCTTTCCCCACTGTATATAATTTATTATTGGTAATTTTACTATAAAAATATATTGTTGATTTTTGTATGGTGGTTAACTATTTGCCTATAGCTGAGACCCTAACAGGTACTACTAACAACGCCCCTCATAACCTCCAATCTTTTAATCAGAGGCCTTGCTGCCGGATTTAGTTTATCGTCACACGCAGGACGGAGAAACGAAGAAAAGCAGTAAGGTGAAACGGACAAAATAATTATGAAGGAATAAAGGAAGGAATATGAGAAAAAAGTCAAAGAAAGAAAAAAGAAAAGAGTGAAAGAGACGAAAAAATAATGAATTGGACAAAAAGCAAGAACAGAATTGAAGAAAAAAGAGAGGAAAGAAAAATTGTAAACAATGAAATAATAAAGAATACTAATGAAAGAATGAAATTAAGGAAACAAAGGAAATAAATAAAAAAAAATCGAAGAAAGAGAAAATCAAAATGGATAAATCAGACGCAGTATCTTTTGTTTTTATCCTTCTCTTTCATTCATATCCTTTTTTTTATGTAATTCTCTTCCAACCTAATTTTCTCTCTTGATCTATCTTTCCGTCTCCCTAATTCTTTTTTTTTTTTCATTCGTTCTTTATTTTTTCTTTTGCCTTATATAATACAATTTCCATTCGATTTTTTTGTTTTTTAAATTTCCGTTGAATTTAATTAAGATTTTTCTTTTTGTTTTTACTCTTTTCTTTCTTTCTTTCTTTCTTTCTTTTTTTCTTTCTTTCTTTCTTTCTATTCATATCTCTCTCTTTTTATCAATCTTTCTTTCTTTCTTTCTTTCTTTCAGTTGTTACTTACTTTCACTTTCCCTGAATTTCCTTTTCATTCCTTTCCACACCATTTCTTTGTATTGTTCTTTCTTTCTGTCTTTCTTTCTTTCTTTCTTTCTTTCTTTCTTTCTTTCTTTCATATTTTTCTTGCTTTACATTTCTCTTCCTTCAATTTTTCTTGCTTTACATTCTTTTTGCTTTTTTCATTCTTTCTTTCTTTTAATTAGTAATTACGTCTCTTCCACTTGTATTTATTTCTTATTTTCTTTTCCCCTTCTTTCTTTCTTTCTTTCTTTCTTTCTTTCTTTCTTTCTTTCTTTCTTTCTTTTAATTGTTACTTAATTTTACTTCCATTGCATTTTTATTCCTCTCCACTCTATTTCTTCACATTGTTCTTTCTTTCTTTCTTTCTTTCTTTCTTTCTTTTAATTGTTACTTAATTTTACTTCCATTGCATTTTTATTCCTCTCCACTCTATTTCTTCACATTGTTCTTTCTTTCTTTCTTTCTTTCTTTCTTTCTTTCTTTCTTTCTTTCTTTTCCTAACATTCTTTTATATTTCATTTTTTTCTTGCTTTACATTATTTCTTTCTTTTTCTTTCTTCCGTTATTATCTATCTTTACATTATTTACATTTCTTTCTTTCTTTCTTCCTTTCTTTGTTTCTTTCTTTCTTTCTTTCTTTCTTTCTTTCTTTCTTTCTTTCTTTTGTTACTTACTTCTACTACCCTTGCATCTCTCCTTTATTCCTTTCTAGTATGTTTCTTTACATTGTTCTTTCTTTTTTTCTTTCTTTCTTTCATTCATTTTTATTATCTATCTTTACATTATTTACAATTCTTTCTTTCTTTCTTTTTTCTTTCTTTCTTTCTTTCTTTTATTACTTACCTTTTTTTCCTTCCATTTGTTTTCAAATATTTTATTATTTTCTAAATGAAATGATTCCTTTGCTTTTTCATGAGTCTTCTTTCTTTCACTGATTTTTTTCTTATCTTTCTTTGTTTCTTTTTTCTTCGAAGCTCTTTTCTCATATTCGTTTTAAAAATGTCTTTCTTTCTTTTACTCTTTTAATTTTTTTTGCCTCTTTTTTCTCTCTTTATTCCATTCAAAACGATAACATTCTATCGACGGAAGATGTGGATTCCACAACAACAAATGTTTTGTCACTAATCTCTTGTCGCAGTTGTCAGACAAAAAAACTCTCTGAGACGCGCAGCCGCAGTAGAAACAGGCAGGTGATTTAAAAGTCGCCTGCTTTTTGCCCAGAGAGCCGTGTGCCGTGTCCTGTGGGAGAAAGAAGACAGAGAGGGAGGGGAACGGTGCAATTTAGGGCAAAAATGGACCGACTTGGTTTGCGACTATAAGTGCCATCACACACGGCACGATACAAAATACACGCACAAGAAAATATCTGCAGTAAAAGACAGCCGACATTACGTGACGTAATCCAATATGGCGGATTTACGTTACGTCACTCGCCAATCATTTTCAGAATTATTGGTTAAGACGACAAAAAGAGCAGGAAAAAATCTCTAGGGTCTGTGACGAGTTAGAATCAAAAGCAGAAAAGAACTCTGGGGGCTTAAATTTTGTTTAACACAACTGTCAGCCGACATGTTTGACATTTTGTTCCGATGAGGAAGTTGATAACGCTTGTTACTTGAAGAAAATAAATTCAGTACAAGAGAAATGAGATAATCGGGAAAAATCTGCTTGCTTATAAAATATCGGATAGAATCTATTCTTGTAATACAGGAACAGAAACCTAATTGGTATACCAACGAATTCCGTAAATTTCAGAAAATCTCATCGTTCTCTACAACTTCCTATATATTATCTGCCTATATTTCAGAGATGAATTATCGTAGCTATTTACATCGTTCAAACTGTTGTCCTTATCTCTACTGCCATATTCACGAGGTTTCGGCCGTTGTACGCTCCGACCTTCTTCACGTGACATATGTTGGAATTTCGAACCGAAACTTTTATTTAGCCCATGGGGATAGATTGTTCTAATTCCACGTGCCGTGCCTCTTTGGATGTTTCAGTATCCGTTAATTCTCTTTAGTGATTTGACTCTCCTAGTTTTGTTTTATATCATCCTTGAAATTCTGTCATCCACTTTCAAAAACTTTGTAGGTGTGTTACTCGCTGCTTCTCTCTGTCCATTTTAACCTCGATATTTCTTGAGGGTGTCACATTCTCCAAACTATCTTCCCTCGATATGTCACTGAGAAATTTCAAATGTCTATTTATGAGTCTAAGTATTGTTAAATAATGATTTATCAGACTATTTATTTTTTTAGAGAATTGTATCTCCGCTCTTATTTGCTCAGTTTGATCTTTGAGATCAGATACGGGACAAAACAAAGAATGTTGATTTTGATTGGCTGAACGAGCGTGGGAATGATTGAGATACAGAAAGTTTTTTTTAAAGGAGTCGAGTATAAACCTTCATAGAATGTAGATGTGTTCTCTGTTGTGTCTGGGATTTGCTCCCCCGTGGGGTGAGAGAACAACCCCACTGGCTAGTTAGAGATGTATACGTCGACGTAAATAACGAAGTTAAGTTTAAAATCCCTTTTTTTTTTAATTCCTTCATCTCCGAACAAAAACAACTAGCGATTACTGACCGGAAGAAGACGAGAGAAGTGTCAGATAATATACAGCATTGTATCAATTTGACACCGATGACCAAGACGGCCCCCACGGGGTGGGCTTATTTACAACAGTATAAGCGTCCTTTTTGTTCCTATTTTACTTACAACTTCCTTATTAGGCACATGATATTCTCAGTATCCTTCTGTAGAACCACATTTCTTTTGCCTCAAGTCAGTACTTCATTTGTGATGCGATTATCCAGTATTCACTGCCACAATGCAGAACACGTATTGCATTACAATCTCTGAGGAAACTTTCCCGTTTGCTTAGCTTTTGGAAGTCGGATTTCTTCATACAATTGTTCCTTTCGACTTCTTTCAAAACGTAGTCGATTATGGATCGCCACAACTTCCTATATATTGTAGCTCATATTTTAAGATTGTCGTTTCACCATCCATTCCACTCTCTGATCTGCCATCCATTTACACAAGTTTGTTAGGTTACTTACTCTTTCCCTCGGTCTCCCTCACTTCAACATGTCCTGTGAGCGCCATATTCTTCAAGCTCTCTCTACTTCATTATGTGTCTGTGAAATTTCAACTGGTTCTATCCGATTGTATAGATAAGCTTTCTTTCCTATGGTTAATGTACCTATTTTATAGTGTGTTTTTTCTACGGCAATTTGTACATATTTTAGAGTCTGTTTTTTTTTCTCTATGGTTATTTGTACATATTTTATACTGTGTTTTTTTTCTCTGACTATTTGTACCTTTTTTATAGTGTGTTTTTTTTCCTGTGATTATTTGTACCTACTTTATAGTGATTTTTCTGTTATTATTTGTACCTATTTTATAGTGTTTTTTTTCCTGTGATTATTTGTACCTATTTTATAATGTTTTTTTCTGTGATTATTTGTACCTATTTTATAGTGTTTTTGTTTCTGTGATTATTTGTACCTATTTTATAGTGTGTTTTTTTTCTATGATTATTTGTACCTATTTCATAGTGTGTTTTTTTTCTGTGATTATTTGCACATATTTTATAGTGTTTTTTTCAGTGATTATTTGTATCTATTTTATAGTGTTTTTTTTCTGAGGATTGTTAGTATCTATTTTATAGTGGGGTTTTTTTCTGTGATTATTTGTACCTATTTTACAGTGGGCTTTTTTTTCTGTGATTATTTGTACTTATTTTATAGTGTTTTTTTTCTGTGATAATTTGTACCTATTTTATAGTGTGTTTTTTTCTGTGATTATTTGTACCTATTTTATAGTGTGTTTTTTTTCTGTGATTATTTGTACCTATTTTATAGTGTGCTTTTTTCTGTGATTGTTTGTATCTATTTTATAGTGTTTTTTTCTGTGATAATTTGTACCTATTTTATAGTGTGTTTTTTTCTGTGATTATTTGTACCTATTTTATAGTGTTTTATTTCTGTGATCATTTGTACCTATTTTATAGTGTTTTTTTCTGTGATTATTTGCACCTATTTTATAGTGTTTTTTCAGTGATTATTTGTATCTATTTTATAGTGTTTTTTCTGTGATTATTTGTACCTACTTTATAGTCTGTTTTTTGTAGTGTGTTTTTTATCTGTGATTATTTGTACCTATTTTATAGTGTGTTTTTTTCTGTGATTATTTGTACCTATTTTATAGTGTGTTTTTTTCTGTGATTATTTGTACCTATTTTATAGTGTGCTTTTTTCTGTGATTGTTTGTATCTATTTTATAGTGTTTTTTTCTGTGATTATTTGTACCTATTTTATAGTGTGTGTTTTTCTTCTGTGATTATTTGTACCTATTTTATAGTGTGTTTTTTCTGTGATTATTTGTACCTATTTTATAGTGTGTTTTTTTTTCGGTGATTGTTTGCATCTATTTTATAGTGTTTTTTTTTCTGTGATTATTTGTACCTATTTTATAGTGTTTTTTTTCTGGGATTATTTGTACCTATTTTATAGTATGTGTTTTTTTGTGATTATTTGTACCTATTTTATAGTGTAGTTTTTTTCTGTGTTTATTTGTACCTATTTTATAAGGTGTTTTTTTTTCTGTGATTATTTGTACCTATTTTATAGTGTTTTTTTTCTGTGTTTCTTTGTTATTATTATGATTAAATTTTATTGTGTTTATATGTGCATTTGTAGTTTTTTTATTTACTTAATTTGTTTATCTTTATATATATATATATATATATATATATATATATATATATATAGTTTTTGTTTACTTCTTTTTTTATGAGTTTGGATATCATATGTTTTGTTTTCACATTTCTCATGGTGCTATTTTACAAGGTGTTTGTTTTTAGTTTTTGATTTCTAATTAACATAGTAAAAATTTGATTTCGTCTCTGCACATTTGAGATAAGATCTGGTCGTTTATTTGGTAATTTTGATTGTCTTGGAGGGGGATTATAGCTATTTTATCCCCGAGACAAATTTTACAATTTTTTTTTTACTTATTTTGGTAAACTGGTGTTATTTTCCTTATTTTCCACTATATACGTGGTGTAATTTGTTTTGTTTTTTTTAATTTACCATATATGTTTAGAAATCACTGTACTGTTTTCGTATTTGCTATTTGTAAACGATTTTTTGTGTACGTAATCTGTTTCTAGAGGTCCTCCAGTTACTCAGATATATATATATTTTTCGTTAGCGTCTGATTTTACAGTGGCTTCGCATATTATATTATTTTGCAAGCAATTGCCATTTAAGGGACATTCGTTCTTTGCTC